AGTCTTCTCAAATATTAGTTTGATAATTCAAAAACTATAGTAAAATTGGCTTCACATAGCAAAAAATACAGAGATTGGCAAAAAGAATGGCTGTATTTGTCCTTTTATTCCATTCAAAAACTCAAAAGAAAAATACTCTGACTTCACTTGCTTGAAAGTTATTTTGCTTCTTTGGAACTATTACAACTATTACATCCCCTTTTTGTTCTTTTAAGATGTAATACAGCTCTTAAATGTGTGGATGTCTGTGGTTGGATGCAGTTAAAATCTTGCATAATTGTAAGTGTTTGAGCAGAGCTCAAGAAGCAAACCTAAAAGTCCAAAGCCTGACAGACTTGGATTGTCTTTCAAATACTTTATTTTTTGACTGGGGAGAAGTGGAACTATAGTGTCTACACTTTAAATTTTGTATCCTTTGAGGGAAGAGGACTGACTGGCTTTGTTGAGCTTTGCAATTTAGCTTAATGCATCATCATCGTTATGTATATATGTACAAAACAGGAAGTCCTTTCAGATCATATCAGCAATCTACTTCCTTATATGTACAAAAATAAAGTTGTCTGAAACAGCAAAGGCAAAAATTGATACAACATAGGCAAGCCCCGTATTTTTAGGCCTATCCAACTGTGGGGCAGAAGGGGTTTAATAGCTAAGGTTGCAATTTCTTTTCTTGTGTGTCTGTTCCTGCAAGACGCCACAGCAGGTAGAAATCCAGATTGTAAGTTTTTTATGGGTGCTGTAACCATGTCCACAAATGAGATTCCTTTGCAAGGTAAGACTACATTTCCCTATCTTGAAGTGAACTTAGATAATTTTTCCCACAATATGTTGCAGTGAATGTTGTTCATATTGGAAGGAACAGGAGGTTCTGTATGATTCCAGGCAAAACTTATGGTTGTTTAATTAAAGAGCTGGCCTTTATTAGAGCTAGCAACTCTCTGTACAACTTCAGGCTACTGAATATTAGACTAGAGAGAGAAAGCAAATGTGGATTATTTTTCTGAGTCGGTTACTGATATGGGCTGTGGTCAGTCTACAGTTGATCAATTAGAGTTTTCCAAATTTCAGAAATCTAATAGAAAGGCTTTTGATCCCCACGATTGCTATTTGTTTTAAGGATGCAACAACTCTGAATCTAGGCAGTCAAATGCTTTAGAGCCTGCTTTGCAGCCAGAAGATCCTGGGTCATGGAAAGTCTTTGGACTGTTCACAAAGGGGTTGTTTCTAGTCATGTATCCATATTCAGCTGGAAGGTTGGAAGAATAGTGTAATCCAAACCAGAAAATACAAATAGTTAATTGTTAAATAGATGCTACGGAAACTAGAATACGATCAGTTGCAATGTATTTGAACTGGGATAGCCAAATGATAGTCTGGACTATACTCTGAGATTTGTATCAGTGTTTCAGATGAGTCCCTAGAGCAGGGGTCCCCAAAGACACAGTGCATGTATAGCTTTCAATAGAGTGGTACTGATCTCTGAAATAAAAAGAGGTCCCTACTGCCTTTTAAGAAAAGCACCCAGTGTTTTTACACCAAATGATAATTTATTTTATTAGGATGTATAGGTTGTGCTTTTATAAACATGCAAAATTGGTGTAATGATTCCACAGGCAAGAACTGATAACTGTTCTTCTCTTAATCTTGATTGAGTTTCCATTTGTTAGTCCTCCTTCAGGTACTAGTTTGGAAGATCAAGAGCAAAGTCCTTGGTGCTCTCTGAGTTTGGTTATTTGCTTGCAGATGTTACATTATCCTGTTGGGTAACATCACCAGTCAAATAGTTTCACTAGCATTAGATGACACTTACTGTCTATTAGTAATTGCTTCTTTAAGTGCTTTTGCTTGTATCAGTGATACAAGCAGATTTAAAGCTTTACATAGACCTAATGTCCATCACTGAGTTTTTCAGTTACCCACATGAACACTTCCAATACTCAATGAATATTACATTTGTTTCTGATATGCAAATATTGAAAAATCAGAGGTAGTTGTTTACCCTAACCATGTATCTGGAACAGAAGTGATGGGAGCTGGACTTGTTGCCAGGTGACTTCCAGAGTACTTCCACCTACTTTACTTGGACTTCAGTAAAGCATTTGATAAAGTAGACAATAACCTACTACTAGATAAAGTAGAAAAATGTGGGTTAGACAGTATCACCACCAGATGTAATCACCACCAGATGGATTCGTAACTGGCTGACCAACCGCACTCAATGTGTAGTCCTCAATGGAACTGCATCTACATGGAGGGAAGTATGCAGTGGTGTACCCCAGGGCTCTGTTTTAGGCCCAGTGCTCTTCAACTTGGACGAGGGGATAGATGGGGAACTCATCAAATTTGCAGATGACAGCTGGCAGGAATAGCCAACACTCCAGAAGATAGGCTCAAGATACAGAAGGATCTTGACAGACTTGAACATTGGGCGCTATCTAACAAAATGAAATTCAACAGTGAAAAAAGCAAGGTTCTACATTTAGGGGAAAAAAACCAAAATGCACAGGTACCGTACTGTATATGTGGTACCTTGCTCAATAGTAGTAACTGTGAGAGGGATCTTGGAGTTCTAGTGGACAACCATTTAGATATGAACCAGCAGTGTGCAGCAGCTGCCAAAAAAGCCAACACAGTTCTGGGCTGCATAAACAGAGGGATAGAATCAAGATCACGTGAAGTGTTAATACCACTTTATAATGCCTTGGTAAGGCTACACTTGGAATATTGCATTCAGTTTTTGTTGCCACGACGTAAAAAAGATGTTGAGACTCTAGAAAGAGTGCAGAGAAGAGCAACAAAGGTGATTAGGGGACTGGAGGCTAAAACATATGAAGAATGGTTGCAGGAACTGGGTATGTCTAGTTTAATGAAGAGAAGGACTAGGGGAGACATGAGAGCTGTGTTCCAATATCTCAGGGGTTGCCACAAAGAAGAGGGAGTCAAACTATTCTTCAAAGCACCTGAGGGTAGAACAAGAAGCAATGGGTGGAAACTAATCAAGGAGAGAAGCAATTTAGAACTAAGGAGAAATTTCCTGACAGATAGAACAATTAATAAGTGGAACAACTTGCCTGCAGAAGTTGTGAATGTCCCAACACTGGAAATTTTTAAGAAGATGTTGGATAACCATTTGTCTGAAGTGGTGTAGGGTTTCCTGCCTGGCCAGGGGGTTGGACTAGAAGACCTCCAAGGTCCCTTCCAACTCTGTTATTCTATTCTAGTACAAGCCAAGGTCACCTTTGATATGTGATAATTATCTTTTCCATGTGGAATCTGCCCATCCAATGAGATCCAAGGCGAGGGGGGTGGGTCTTCTTGGTAATGCTTCCTGTTCTTTGGAGCAAGTTACCCCTAGAGTTGAATTCTTCTGTTACTATTCTGGATAATTACTTGATTATTATTCTAAAGATCTTGCTCTTTAAAGGGACCTATGGAGGACTGAATGCTCTCCCAAAGAAATGATCAAGGAATTAGTGGAGGTGTATGATTGAAATTATTGGGGTTCTTCGTTTGTTTTGATGGTGGTGGTGGTGGTGGTGGTGGTGGTGTGTGTGTGAATTTATGTCATATACTTGTAATAAATTTACTTAAAATACTGCGGTTTTGTAAGCAGCCAGTCAACAGATTGCAGCAGCATAGAAACTTTTGTAATAAATAACTAATTCAGTGTAATGGGGAAAAACTAAAGCCAAGTGGCTCTGTGACTGGCTAGTCTACTGTCCAAATTCCAGTAACTAGTAGACAACTTCAGAACATTAGTTCTGCCTTCTTATGGGTGATAGGGGAATATGATTCTACTGGACCTCTTGGAATGATGGAAATTATATATAAAATGATTTAAAACAATGGACCGAACTACATCTTATTCTCAAATAATTTGTAGTTTCTTCTTGCTCTTGGTTCATTGGACTCCTTTACAAGAATAGGCCAATTATTTGCCATAAAGAAAATGTGTACTTCCTTATTGCCTTTGTTAGTTTGTTTATTTAATTATGAATGATATTTATAGCTTTCAAAACTCTAGGCTGAATATAAAAAAGGCATACGCATAAAGGAAAAAAAGAAGTGTACAACATTTACATTGTTAAAAACCCTAATACCCTAAGGGAAAATCTCATAGGTGCTCCATGATTGAAATTGCTTTGAGGACCAGTCTGGTGAATCATCACCGCTTTATGGTAGGGGTCATCTCTAGTGCCTCTAGTGGCAGAGTGTTTCAAAGAAGGGAAGCTGCTATTGAATAGACCTATTTCTTGTCCATGAGGTCCCATGTAACTCTCAAGGGACCCTCCACAGAAATTTTCTTGAACACTGAATGGCAGATTCAATTCTTTGCGGCCCTGAGATCAAATTACAATGGTCAGATTTTAGGGATGAGGTTGGGGAGATTTGAAGGGTAGGGACAGAAGTGGTTTGACTCCGCGAAGCTGCTTTTTCTGTCCTAAAACCTCTAATAAACGCCCTCCAAAATTTTGATATTTATGAGATAAATTTTACTGAATCTGCAGAGCATCAGGAAACCATATTGTGGCTCCCAATCCTTCAAATACTGTCTACTTGTGCCTAAATATAATTCCTAAAATAAGATTAAGATAAATTTAAAAGATAAACCCAGTAAAAAGCACAAATGTTTCCATTCAGTAAGTGTCCTTGGCATGGCCCTGCCCCCTGTTATCCCTCTTCCTCAAACTGTTAAGCCCTTGAGCCCTTGAGAATGCCATTCTTGATGAAATCGGCCCTGTGACATTTTAAACGATGCCCTTTAAGAGGACATTCTGGCCAATTACAGAAAGAGTCTCCTCAGGGTCCTTATGGATGATTTTTTTTTTTGAACAGTTGAGAAGTATGATATATGACTATCGAATATTCAGAGTTTATTCCAGAGCTCCAGAGTCCAGCACTATATTTCCAGGTATCTGTTTTTCCATGCTTACAATAAATGGCTTTATTTGTGGCATGCTTGCTTAACATCTTGTCATCTTCTGTTCTTGCTTCTTCAGTATCAGCCAGACTTTCACAAGTGTCCTCCCCACAGCCAGGCTGCCCATCTCCTTCTATCCCACCAGGTAAAATCATCTCTTCATCTCAGAAGCACAGCAAAAAGGCACTTAAACAAGTAAGTGGGTGAACATACTGATTTGTTTATCTGACCTTTAATTTGTGCTTATCTGCAGGTTACTTGGCACTAAAAAACTAACTTAACTTTAAGATAAATTTGCTCTGCACCTTGCTCCAATTTACATTCTGCTAAAAATTCTGCATAATTGAGCATATGGATACAATGATAAAAGTTAACTAAAATATATGTAATGAAATAAAGCTGTACCCATGGAAGAATGGCAGTGATGAAATCCACATTTTTTTACTACCGGTTCTGTGGGCGTGGCTTGGTGGCGTGGTGTGGCTTGGTGGGCGGGGCAGGGGAAGGATACTGCAAAATCCCCATTCCCTCCCCACTCCTGGGGGAAGGATATTGCAAAATCTCCATTCCCACCCCGCTCTGGGGCCAGCCAGAGATGGTATTTGCCGGTTCTCCGAACTGCTCAAAATTTCCGCTATGGGTTCTCCAGGGATTTCACCCCTGAAGAATGGGCAATTTTTCTTAGGATTTTTTCATGAAAATTTACCTCACTTTTCTGTAGAAATGATAGCCACTAAGATGCTAGATTTCTTTGCATTACAGTCTTTATATATGGCAGAAAAGAACTCAGCAGGCTCTAGCTATTAGTCTGTTAGCTTGAGCGTACTGAGTTAGCTACTTGATGTTTCATTCAGTTGCAAAACAGCTGTAAAGTAATAATTATTGCTTTATCCTTGACTCTCATGTTTTTCCCAAATAAAAATAAATTATAACTCTCTTTGGTTTATTTATTGCTTAATTTCAGTTGTCCTGTTTACTTTTGTCTCATGCATCAGCTTGGTATGTTTTTCCTTTCAGACAGGTGGTATTCCTCTGGCAACTGTGTTTGTTCTGGCTCAAAATGCCCTAGCATTTTCTTCATATTGGTCTCTTCCCCGCCCCCCCTCCCATTCTCGTATTTCTTTCACAGTGATTATTTCCTTAAGATAATCACATTTCCAATATAATTTACTGAATGTTTTTCTTAGCCTTTGAAATTTGCTTAGATTTTTCTCTAGAGGGTATTTTCTGTTTTGACTTTGATTTCTCCTAGACCTTCTTTTCTTTCCCTTCCTTTCCTTGATGCTTTGCAGAAATATGCAAGCAGTCGTTTTTCTTTTAGGAAGATATCTCATTCTGTCAGTGCAATACTTTCTTTTCTTTTAGTTACCAGGCTATATTTCTGTTTCTCTAACTATAGAATAGAATACAGAGTAACAGAGTTGGAAGGAACCTTGGAAGAGACACTATGCCATTTCAGACAAATGGCTTCTCAATCTCTTCTTAAAAACCTCTAGCAATGGAGCATTCTCAACACAGAGAGTTTTCATCATAATTATGAATTAATTGTATTTGTTGCAGAGCCTATATATAATATAATGTAAATTATATTATTTCCTTACATTCCCATGGAGCAACTGCTCTGTCTATACGGGTCAGATTTGTTCATACTTTCTAGAAGGTATCTCTGTTTTGAGAAAGGTCTTTGTAATTATGATAATGCCTTGGGTATTATCTATTTGTCTATATCTATTATATCTATCAAATATCTATTAGATATTTGTCGGACCATCTGCAGCCAGCAACAGCTTCCCATCGCCTGGTACGTTCTCACAGGAAGGGCTTTCTCCAGGTGCCGTCGGCTAGACAATGCCGGCTGGTGACCCCCAGGGGCAGAGCTTTCTCTGTGGGTGTGCCCACTCTTTGGAATCAACTTCCCCTGGGGCTTTGGTTGGCTCCTGACCTTCGCACCTTCCGCCGTGAATTAAAAACATGGCTGTTTACATTGCCCAACCTGGACTGAGGGGGTTTGATTATTTTAATGGGTTTTAATATATGTTTTAAATTTATATTTATACATTTATGTATTTTGTATGTATTTTATGTTTCATTGGGTTTGTTTTTATTGTTGTGAGCCGCCATGAGTCTACGGAGATAGGGCGGCATACAAATCACATAAAATAAAAAATAAAATAAAAAATAAATTATCTGGATACTGGGAAATTATTTTGATAGTGCTCATTCATCATTAATGAAATCAGATTATCCTTTAATCTTGCAACACTGTAAGATAAAATATTTTGCCAAGTATCAAAGAAGGAAAATTTCCCCACTTCTAAATATTTAACATAAGCATTAATTTGAGAATATCTTTGATAGCAAGATAAAATCTGTTGTCTGCAAATCTGATAACAGGAAATTTATGTCAAAATTATTTTGCAGTCTTCTATCTCATTTGTTATATGAAAATAAATCAGTAGGAGACAGAAAATCCATCTTCAGTAAAGTGCAATATGTAATAATTGATAATAGAGCAGTTGCCCTGTCAGCCAAATATTTCAACATCTCTGCAGGCTTTCCTGAACAAGGAATTCTGCACTACTGTGTAGACTTTTCAGCTTAAGAAACTCCTGTATAATGAATCGCTTTCACTTTCTTATTAGGCCTTGAAGCAAAAGCAAAGGAAGCAGCATCATTGCCGAACCAGTGTGCCTGTATCAACTAATCACCACCTCCTACAGCAGCATGTGAAGATTGCTAACCATCCTGCAAAAGCCGGTATGGGCCCTTTTCAGACACACCTTCTCCACACAATACTGCTAATTATTTTCCTCAACTCATCAGCTCATCACCCTTGACCTCTGATGACGGCAAGAGGAAGGGCCCAAGATTAGTTTATATTTAACTAGCCTACTGTGACCAGAAGACTTGAGAAACAAGGCAGTGGTTAATTCTTTTTGAATGAAACTCTCCTTCCTTTCTTCTTCTAGGCCATCTAGTTCAATATTAAGTTTCCAAAATAGCTAATATATATTGATAATTGATAATATTACATTTTTAAAATTAATATCTTTATAGGCATCAGCAGCACATTGTAAGTTCTCTTGTTTAATTATGTGCTGTATATAGAATAGCTAACTGAACAACTTCTAAGACTGATAGACTTCTTGTCAAGTAGATACTTCATGGAAACTTCCAATTCAATCTTTACTACTAATAACACATGCACTTAGAATCCACAAATAATTTGTTATCTACCTCTGATCCTTTTTATTTGTTGTGGCTTTGCATAGTGCTACAATCCATATTTCATAAAGATAGCCAGTAGAAATCTAAGGTTTCCAAAAATTCGAAAGAAAACATTAAATGAGCTGCTGAAAAATTAAAGCTAGATAGTGCTTCATTAGATTAAAACAATTAAGTCAATTATTATTTTCCTTGCAGCTTGGGAAGGAAAACAATCAGATGGACATTCAAGTAGCCCACAGAATTCTACTTCTAGTTCTTCTCCCTCTGTTAAAACTGAGCCTTCCTTGCCAATCCTTGGGAAGAAACCATTCCAGAGATCTGAGAGGCTCCATGCAAGTAAGACAACAGCTTTCTTAAAACAAAAAACAAATAACCCTGCCTGATACTTTATCAGGATCTGAAACTTAGAAATATTTTATTTATTATTTTGAATAAAACAAAATAATAAAATAAATAAAAACATTTGAAAATGAATTTCATAATTTATTTTTAAATGTTAATACTTCAGTTATTCAAGATAAAACAAAAATGGATTGGACAAATTTAGAAAAAAGTCCTTTTCTCTGTTTATGTGGGTGTTTTCTTAGTTATTTCCTGCTAGAAGACCAGCTGCTAAATGAACAGCCAGAGTTTTCACTTCATTGGGTTTACATCATTGTAAACATTACATCATTGAAATATCATTGCTGTATAGCTGTGATGGTGAACCTATAGCACACATGCCACAGGTGGCAGGCGGAGTCATATCTGTGGGCACACAAGCATTGCCCTAGCTCAGCTCCAGCGCTCATGAATGTGCCGGCCAGCTGATTTTTGGGCCTTCCGGGCCCACCGGAAGTGGGGAAATGGGCCATTCCCGGCCTCGGGGGTGGTGGGGAAGGCCATTTTCACCCTCCCCAGGTTCCAAGAAAGCCTCTGGAGCCCGGGGAGAGCGAAAAACGGGCCTACTGGGCCCACTGGAAGTCAGGAAAAGGACTGCTTCCGGCCTCCGGGGGATGGGGGAGGCTGTTTTTGCCCTCCCCAGGCTTCAAGAAAGCCTCTGGAGCCTGGGGAGAGTGAAAAACGGGCCTACCAAGCCCACCGGTAACTTTTTTGCCGTCGCATGCCATAAGTGGGGGGAGCACTGGGTGGGGTCTCACGTGCATGCACGGGACATTGAATTATGGGTGTGGGCATGCATGCGCGCGACCCCTGCTTTTGGCACGCGACAGCAAAAAGGTTAGCCATCATTGCTGTATATCTTGTCTAAAACCAGTGAATTTTATTGTATAGTCTGGATGAAGCTACAAGCAGTCGGTACTTTTTAAATATGTGTCATATATAAAATATTTAATGAAGTTGGATTAGACTAAGATTTATTTAGCTTATGTCAGCTTTCTTTCTAGGAAAAAGTATTGAAGACATCTAAGTACAAATGGAATAGTAAAATTAAATATTAAAATTTACCGATAACTGTAAGAGAGTAAAATAATTGAAATTTCAGTATATTACAAGTGAAGGCAGTCCCAGAATAAGGTTGTAGGTTCTAATCTGGGTCAGTCACTGGGACCAGAGGTTTAGACTTCTGAGGGAACAATTCTCTAATAGAATGTGTGCTTTGTGCTATTCTATGCATAGAATATTTGTAATATACTATGCATATATTTGTAATATTTTATGCCCGTGATGGCGAACCTCTGGCATGCGTGCCACAGGTGGCACGCAGAGCCATGTCGCCTGGCACGCCAGCTCAGCTCCCTGATTTTCGGGCCTTCTGGGCCCACCAGAAGTAGGGAAACAGGCTGTTTCCTGCCTCCGGAGGGCCTGGGGGGTGGTGGGAAAGGCCCATTTTTCTTTTTCACCTGGCTCCAGATCTTCTCTATGCATCTGGGGAGGGCGAAAACAGCCTTCCCCACCCCCTCTGGAGGCCCGAAATGGCCCATTTTCCAACTTTCAGTTGGACAGGAGGTGACATTTTTTGCATCTCTAGGAGTCTCTGGAGGCTGGGGACAGCAAAAAATGTCACTTCTTGTCGAATTGAAAGTTGGAAAACGGGCCGTTTCGGGCCTCTGGATGGACTCTGAGGGGGGTGGGGAAGGCTGTTTTCACCCTCCCCAGATGCATAGAGAGGATCTGGAGCCAGGTGAGAAAGAAAAACGGGCCTACTGGGCCATCACGTGCCTGGAGGGGGAGGGGGTTTGCATGCGTGGGGCAGGGCGCATAGAATTATGAGTGAGGGCACGCATGCATGCGAACCTCCCCCACCCTCCCTTCCTGGCACGCGATGGCAAAAAGGTCACTGTTCTATACATATCATTTGTAATAATACATCTATGTAGGCAATTCAGTCATAGGTGGCAAGTAATATCAGATCTTCAATCTATTGAATAAATGGATCCATACATTTATCTTTCTGATGTTGTAATATCATTCTTTTTGCCATTGTAAGGGCACAAAGAATACATTTTACTATGAATACTGTTACTGAAGTAGTATCTGGGCATTTGTACAAAGAAGAGTTATGCTCTTTCTCTGATTTGTTTGCTGCAAATGCCCAGATGCTGATTCAGATTAGAAATATTAATTATAATATCCTAATGATGAATTATATAATTCTCATTAGAGGTGGACAGAATGTCTATGGAGATTCTCAATCATCCAGGTCATGATTGTCCCAAAGGTGCTTTTCCAAAAGGAAGCTGGACTTTCTTGGCTTTTTCCCTGAAGACATTTTCTTCTCATCCAAGAACTGAAGAAGCTTCTTGGATAAGAAGCAAAACATCTTCAAGGAAAAAACCAAGAAAGTCCAGCTGTCTTTTGGAAAAGTACCTTTAGGATTGGTGTACAGAATGTTCGAAAATTGAGAAGCTTTGTGTTTGAAGTTCTCCTTTTTCTATTTTGTGCTCAGGATGAGATTTTCCAGCCTCGCAGAAAGTATTCCAAGCTCAAATATTTTGTAGTCATATTCCTGATACCTTTTCTTGTCTCTGGTGAAGGATTATGATGTAGTATATCTGAAATGCGCTGGACAGAAGCAGTTTTTAGAAGTTACACATAAGTAGCATTTCAATAAGCTAGAGTTCTAGCATCCCTTGAGATTTCACTGACTTAGACTTTGAGAGGTGCCATCCATCTTATTTCCTTTAACATTCTTTCTGTGTAGTAGAAAGAAAGCTGTCCTATAACATTAACATATTTAAGAAGATTTGTCAAATGGAGTGGCTTTCCAGACTCAAGTATCAGTCCTGGAAAGGGACTTTCCCATTCCTTGTGAGAAGCAGAAGTAAAATAGGTAGACCACTTCTTCCTAGTAATGATCTTTGGTTTCTTTTTTCTTAGGGCAGCTGAAGAGGACAAAATGTGCTGAAATTGATGTAGAAACCCCAGAATCCATCTTGGTCAACACCAATCTGCGAGCTCTAATCAACAAGCATACATTCATGGGACTACCAATCGAATGTCAGCAGAAGCTGCTCCTGCTCCTGCCAGAGGTGGACAGGCAGGTATGTGTCCATGGAGGGAGGGGAGGAAACAGGTCAGGGAGTCAACTTTTTCCCACAGTTTTCTATAACAGGGCTATTGCGCAGAACCTAGGCTGTGTAACAGTAAGGGGCCAAGGTTCCAAATACTCAATAAATTGATCTTCTGTGTTAGCAAATGCGTGTTCAGTTTGTGAAACTATCTTCTTTTCTGCTTCCTCAGCTCAAAATTAAAACCATCTCTTTTCTTATTATTGATGTATCAGCAAGAATTGAGTCTCTATTGGCTCCCTGTGGTAGTTTAGAGCTCTGTAAAAGGAAACTCTCTGTGTCAGGTTTCGAGGTCGTCTCAAATAAATTGCATTTCAAACAAAGTCTTTGAAGGAAAACTCCTATTTATTAAGCATGACATTCTAAATCCGACTCCATCGAAGCCAGCACTGACTTCCAGACCCAAAACCCTCCCTTTCCGTTCCCCATTCCCCTGCACTCATTGGCCATCTTCCAAGTCATTCTACCCCTAATCTACCACTCCAGCTCAAAGGAATTTCCCCCCTCCCATCCCATCTCCTAGGGGATATTATCTCCAGGAAAAATAAGTAGGTGAAAAGTCAAACGTCCCTTTCCAGACGCCTCCGCTTCTCCTTATGTCAGCACTAGAGTAAATGAAGCTTGAAGTGCTGACACACTGTTGTTTAGGCCCCTGGTGCTCTAATATTGGCATTTCTAATCAGAATAAAAGTCTTAATCTTCAATGCTTTTACTGTGCTTTGATTACGGCATTTAGTGCAAAGAAGTGTAAGGCTACATTTGAGAGCCTTACTACTAAGCTATTCCCATGGGTATCCATCTCCAAATATTTTAATAGGACATCCAGGCCTTCATGGGGAACACCTGGTGCTTTTGGGACAGATAAGGGCAAGCTTTCATATCAATTGTATCTTCTTATATGTATATAATATGCTAAAGCACTGTTGTTCTATGCTGTTACACCCATTTTTTCCTAGTTCCCAAAGTCTCTGCAGAAAGGAACAATCATTCTCAAATCATTTATAAGGCAGAAGAGGCTAAACATGGCCTATCAGAGACCATCTTACCCTAGAAAGATAAAGTGCAAGGAGTTCCTTCTTTTAGGCCTCTCTAGGATTAACCCATTGCTTTATCTGCCTGGTTTCATGAATTCCCGAGGAAAGTTGAGTACTTGGCTGCATAGTTTTTATTCATCCTACCCCATTTGTCTTTCAGATTGGAATGGATGGCTTGATGAAGCTTAGCAGTTCTGCCCTCAACAACGAATTCTTTAATTCTGCTGCGCAAGGATGGAAGGAGCGACTGTCGGAAGGTGAGGACCTCCAGAGACAGGTCTGTAGGTTTCTGAGGATGTTTCAGAGGGGTTGGTAAGAATGAGCAGAATTTTACTGAAAGAATTACTTGTGCAAAGAAGCACGAGACCAGAGCTATAAATGAAATAAAAATAACCTCCTCTGTCATTTCTAAGGTATGAATATTGGTGACTTTTGAAATGATTTGTGACATATTCAGGAAAGTCAGTGCAGCAATTGAGTTTGAAAAGGCAGACATGTCTGTATCTTGCTAAGTTCTTTCCTTCCACTCTGTGTGTGGCAGGGGAGTTCACTCCAGAGATGCAGCTAAGACTACGGCAGGAATTAGAAAAGGAGAAGAAAGTGGAACTTTGGAAAGAGCACTTCTTTGAGAGCTATTATGGTCAGAGGTAAGGATTTAACCTGCCTTGCCTGTGCCTTTTTCTTTTCTTTCTGAGACTTTTGAGCTGGTGGATGTGGGCCTGGACTCTGAACTATAGCACTGCACTGAAGGCTGCTTTGGAGGAATGCTTTATTTTGTATTGCACCATTCAGAAATGAATTATCCAAATAGTCAAAGTATTTTTAAAAAGTTGATTCCAGAAATTTTAAAAATAATTTTGGAAAGGAGCCTAATATTTCAGTTGAAGGTTTGAAAAAGCAGAATGTCCATAACTGAGAATATACTAAAACTGGAACTTCTCTGTTCACAGAATTGTCTATTGGCTAGTGCAATGCAGATCTCTGCTGTATTGCTTTTATAAGGTACATGGTTCCCAGGATTGGAGCTCCTCCTGCCATTTCAGCTTCAGAAAGAGGGAAGAAGGAACTTACAGCCATTTTAAAGGAAGAGGTTTCCACTGTTTGCCTTAAGACCACAATTAGTCTCTTCTCCTTTAATCTACTATGTCAGTTTTAGTCCTCCTCAGTTACTGCTTTTTCATAATGAAGAAAAATATCCCTTCCCTTGACAATCAGTTGAGATTTTCCATTATGCTGATTCATTCTCTCCTTCTGTCACTCTGTATCTATTCATTCCTAACCTAGCTATTGCTTTTACCCATTCCCTAGGTTTCATACGTCATCCCAACAACATATTAACCCACAACACAAACACTAGCCAAGATTAACATAAATCAAGTTTAGCGTGTTGTGTAAATGTACCTACTAGGTATTTATTTGACCAAGGTACATATATAACAAGAACCAACCTATTCCTATTCTGACAGGCTTCAAGACATGAATACTTGTTGCTTCCCTGAGAAAAGTTGGCAGTTCCAAAAGATTTCCTTATTGAATGACACTCTCTGCTTGTTGAGAAGGGAAGAATTGTCCTGTATCTTATCAATGTCTCTGCTTTCTCTTTCTGTCTTCTAGTTCTGGGTTAAGCCTTGAAGAGTCCAAAGAACTGACAGCTTGTATTCCTACTGTTCAGAATCAAGCACAGACTGGGAATCTAGCACCTCCGTTACAGAAATGCATAGTAGTCCATAAAGCAGTACCTGACAAAGAACAGACCAATTCTCTGGTGGGTCCAAAGGTACAGATTCTCCCAGCTGTAACAGCAGCCGCTAAAGGAGAAGAGATTGAGCAGCCCAAGGTCTTTAAGCCAGAAGAGCTTGTAAATTCTTCTGGCAACAGTGCCTCCTTCCAGAATAGCAGCCAGATTCCTCAGAAGATTTCCAAGAGAGTTGAGGAGCTAGAAGAGGTGACACCACAGCCTGCTTGCCTGGAGTCTGTGGTGAGACAAAATCCAAGCAAACCAAAGAATACAGCCATAGCTGGCACTAAACTAAGCCCAGAAGTAGAATCTCAGAAGATTTCCACAAAGGAGGCTCCTGCAACTTGCACAGAACACATGGACACTGGAAGCAGGGCTTTCAAGAGAAAATCAGAGATTCCTGAAGAGGCACTGATGACACCTGAAAAACAGCTCCATGTGACGGAAAAGTGCCCCACCAGGCCGCCTTTTCAGGCCCCACAGCAGTGCTTTCCCATCGCGCCTACACCAAAAGTCCCTCCGCTCAGGGTAAAGGAACCATATGTGTTAAGCTCATTCTGTTACAACTTCTGTAGGCTGATAAGGTCCTTTGTCGCAATCCCTGCATTGTTCTACATTTCTATTTTGAAAGCGAAAGAACACCTGTCACTGCAGTTTGCTGGCTGGTTGAATGTTTGCAAGCAAATGAGAGTGAGTTCAGTTTGGGCAGTTCTAATCAGGGAGATTCAGCCCAAGACTGTTTGAATGACAGCCTAACTTTCACCACTGATAATCTCACTTTAAGAGGGATCCCATGGATGAAGAGGAAGGCATCTAGATCTTGTTCTTAAGCCAAGCCATTTGAGTTGCTTCATTTACTTCAGGGATTCTCTTTGTAATTTCTTTCATACACAAAGAATGAATGAATGAATGAATGAATGAATGAATGAATGAATGAATGAAGTGAAAGACTGAACAAACAAACGAACTAAATACTGGGAAGTTATCAGCACTAAGGTTGATGAATTAGTAGTCTAAATTTTTGGCTACTGCACCTCCTTTTTTTCAGAAGGAGGCACTTATTATTCAGTTTAACAGCCTCTTGAAAAAATAGGTGGGCATCAGAGGGTATATTTGTATTTCTCCAACACTGCGCAAAGGCTAGTCTTGCCACCGTTAATATATGTAGAATGATGTACGTTGTTTTTTTATCATATTTCCCTTTCGTTATCCTGAGAAGAAACAATTCCGGTGTGTATTCTATTTGAAAGCCAGTTAATTCCTGTAACCAAGTTTGTATTTTTTTCCAAACTTTTTTCGATTCTGGGCATAACCACCATGAATGAAAGAAGGTACCCTGTTTTTGTCTACATTTCCAACAATTTGGGGTTAAATTTGGGTATATTTTTGCTAATATACCCAATATATTTTACAAATATACCCTCTGAAGACTTAATAATTAAAAAGGTTTTTGACTGCGCTGAAATGGACAAATTGACACTTGAACTAAAAGGATTGATGGATTTGGAATACCACGTAATATGAGAGAAGTGGTACAAATGGATTGAAAATAGAAAAGGAAAAAAGAATTAGATAAACTAGGATTGGATTTAGTTAGAATGTATAGAGTATAAGTAAATTATAGTAATATGTCATGTAAATGGTCACAGTTATGTACAAGAATTCTTTCTTTTTGTATTTTAATTATTGAAAATTAATAAAATATTTTTTTTAAAAAAAGAAAAGAAAGAATAGGTGGGCATAAGAGAGTTCAATGTATTCAACTTGATGTGTCTGCCAACAAGATGGTGAGTGTTTTCCTTGGAACTCATCAGACCCATTTTGCCTTGAGTCTCTTGCTTTGTTCCAAGATAAGAAACATGAGTGAGAGAGTGCTTTACCTTCCAGTTTATTGATGCACTTTCCTCTTTTCCAGATCCACGTCTCCAGAATCCAAGGATCTCCAGCATTACTGTCTGCTAGCCAGGTCTCTCCCAGGCCCCCCTTCCCAATCATCAGGAGAACAGGGGCCAGGACTTTGGCCGACGTCAAAGCCAGGGCTAGAATGGCCAGGGCCCAGCGAGCAGCTGCTGCCGCCGAAGCAGCCGCAGCAGCCTCCATTGCTGCTACTTCTGCCTCCATTGTGGAAGCCATCCCAGGCCCAGGGCCAGGAGGAGGGAAAGGAGAAGACAAGAGCAGTCCACTCTCAGGGAGGCCTCATGGAGCTACATTGGACATGGCAGGCTCTGGAAGCAGGACGAGCCCAAAAAGGTTTTTCCCCTCTTGCCCAGCCCCTTTCTCCCCAACAGACTCCCCAGCTCCAGAACCAGCAGCTACAAGCACTGCTGCTAGAGCACAACTACAGTCGGCTCCCCCAGCACAATCCAGAACTTCAAGCGGCAACCCAGAGGTGGAGAGGGCGTCGATCTCGCAAGCAGCAATAGGGAATGTCAAATGTACAAATCCCAGCCTTTTGACTGTGCCTGCCACTCAGGATGTCACAGCTTCTTTGGGCTCAACAGCTGATCTTGCTTCCATGATGGAGAAACTAAGAAATAACCCTCTTGCTCTGAACCAGGTTACAAGAACATCCTACGGCTTTGAGCCTGGAGTGAACTGCAAAAGTATATCGAAAACAGCTTCTACCGCCAGCACAGGTGTTCCAGAAGACAAAGCCAGGGCCTTGCTTTCTGTATCTCCTGTGTTGGCTGGACCCTTCAAGGCACCCCCTCCCCTTTCTTCTCCACGTGGCCCTCTGCCCAAGTCTACTTTATCTTCTCCTTCCCATAATACTTTGTTGGTAGCCCATAGCCCTAAAGTTCCCCCAAGCTCCTCAGGTTCAAGTGGAAGTACCTCTGCAGGAAAAGCCAGCTCCAGTATACCTGCTAATAATCCTCTGGTGACTCGGCTGCTGCAAGGTAAAGAAGTCCCAATGGAGCAGATCCTCCCAAGGCCTCTGACAAGAGTTGAGATTAAGTCTGTTGCACTGCCTGGGAAGGAAGGCAAAGGAACCACAATGGTTTCCAGGCCTGGCCCTCCAAGGGAAGGGGAAGGACAGCTGCACATCACTTTCCCAGCAGGTGGGAAGCCAAGCCTTAGTCGCTGTGGACAATCCCAAGATCCCCCACCCTTATCGTCTTTATCAGGGCAGGATTTGTGGAGCAAACCTACAGACCTCCACAGTAGCCAGGAAACTTCAGGCAAGCGTGCCCAAGAACATATTCTCCAGACTGTCAAGCAGAAAGTCCCTGTGCAGAGCCTCCCTGCTGCTCCTTCTCCCCCTCCACGTCTTCCCCTCCTCCCCCCGCATTTCCCAGTAGAGAGCAGCTCCACCAGCCAAAGTTTCACACTGGGATTCATAGGGAGAAGGACATTCAAGCCTGCCATGTCTGGCCATTACCTCCTGAATGTTTCTACCTATGGACGCTGTCCAGAGAACCTAAGAAGAAACCTTGCCCAGCCTCCAGAGAGCCACCTATGCTCAGATGAGCCCCCAAAGAAATTAGAGGAACAGAAGCATACATCTAGAGATGACAGTAACATTAGCGGTGGTGAAGATGAAGGGGACACAGATGGCAATGTGACTGAACATGCAACAGCACATCTCAAGGTTAAAGAGGAATCTCTGGCTCCAGGAAGAGGAGGAGGAAGGCAGGCAGCTTCAAAGATAAAACTGGAGCAGGCAGCAATAAGCCACAAGGATGGAAACATTTGCTTATTCCCAGCAGGTCAAGACTATGCTGAAAGCAACTCAGCAAAAGATTTTATTCAGGCTGCCCAAGTGGCTCAGACAACTAGAGGAGAAAGGAGATCTGGCAGTGGGGAACTTCAGACTTGTGCTCCAGCAAATGTTACCCTACAGCGGCCTCTGCTGCTCTCACCCCCACCCTCTCAGCTCTTTCGAAATCCTACTCCTGCGCAACTTATTGGACCAGGCTACAGTGGCACGATTAATGTTTCCACTTCTCCAAACATGCATCAGGATACTCTCCTCACTGGACTGTCAGACCCCAGCCGCATGGGGGATGTAGTGTCCTTCTCTGTAACTGTAACAGCTATCCCTGCTAACCACCCAGTGAATACTGGTAGCCATGGACAATCTCTCCGTGGCCAGGCTTTTGCAGAAGATGTTGGCTTGGAGGACTTGCCCTCAAAGTGCTACTGTCGCTTGAAAGCCATGATTGTGTGCAAGGGCTGTGGGGCCTTCTGCCATGATGACTGTATTGGCCCCTCCAAGCTCTGCGTTTCCTGTCTCGTCGTGCGGTAGCAGGTTTTTGTAGATGGCATCTCATCTAGGGAGCAGGAAGGGCATGCTGCTGAGTCAAGAGTCCTTGTCCTTATCCCACACCACATCTACTTGGTTTCCTTGAGAATAAAGAAAGCACCTTGGATGAATGGCTGAACCCAGTGGGACAAGTGTGTGCACTTAAGGAATCATGTAAATATGTTGCATTGTTTTGTCTTAAAGATTATTTTTTTCCAACCTTGAGATAAATCTGTGGATGTGAACCTGATGCTCATTTTGCCTCTTGTCCTGTAGTAGCAGAATTCTGGCCCACTAAGTCCCTCTTCACCTTCAGTGCCCCTGTTTCCCATAGGGCCTGATTTGCCTCCACCTTGCTACCATCGTGGCCTCCATGTTTTTCTTTGAATGGACTTGCCAAATGTCCTAGTGAAACACAGTGGTTGAGACTATTACATCAGCAGCCCTAAGCAACAGGAGCATACAAAAGGTGGGCAGATAGCCTACCGCCCAGTTGAATTTTATTGCGTTGCTGTTTACAGTAATCAATTCTTTACTATATAAAATCACCTTGAGGAAAGGCAGAGGCAGCGTACTGCAGATCATCAGAATTTGCAGGGCAGAATGGGGATTGGTGGGGAGTATCAGTTTATAGCTCTGAATTAACCAATGGCAGCAAAGATGATTTCTATTTTCTTATATGAATGGGTATGCTTTGAATTTCAATCAAGATACAGCAGCACAAACTCCTTTGGTCCCAGAGTCTAGATTCCCATTTTTCAAGAAGAAAAATGTCTCGGTGAGGTAAATGCTGTAGAATAGAGTGGAAGAAACGTTTCAGGTTTTTTAACATCAAGCCATAATTTTGGGTCAGCTTGTCAGCTTCTGGAATCAGCTCTGACTCAAATAATTGAAGATTTCAAGCTGAAAAAGATAGTGGGGCCTTGTTATTCCCTTGTGTATATTCTTCAAATGCACACTAAAGGTGTTGAGCATTATATTTAGAAACAGAATTGATCCTGCTCAGAATCACCTTATTTAAAAGAAAATGGAGTTTCTGGACATGGATTTCACTTATAGAAAGAAGGGCATTTCTTTGGAACTAATTTGTAAGACGTCATGTCAATGATGGATGGAACTTAAGCTTTTAGGAAGGAACCTGAGGCATACAAAATTTGTTCTACTCTTTCTGACACTTTTTTTTTTTTTGCCCTCTCCTTGCTCTCCCCTACCCCTATTCATTTCTATTGCCAGAGACTCAAATTAATTGCTTATAAAGAGCTTTTAAGATTAGGCAGTAATCAGGTTCCATACTCTTGATTTGTAGAATGTACAAAGCTGCCTTTTGCTCTTTATTGGCCTTGTCAGGGTTGTGCCAAGATAGCTCTCAAAGCATGGCAGAATTTCCAGTGTCTCCTTCACTCTTGAGACTACTAGGAAAGGATTAAATTATGGAAAGTTTGATTAAATCAGCATAATTTATTCCAGCTCCAGATTCTACTTTTTGTGAGGCTGATTTACACTGAGTTAGAGATATTTAGAGCCTCTGCAGCTCTGTTCTAGATTTTCGCTGTAGTTTGGTAGCATATAACTACAGAATTGTACTTGGCCATTTGGGCTCCAGTCCCCAGTTAATGTGCAGGTTTTTAAATGAAATACCAGCCATTGAGTAATAGGAAAAGCTGTCAAGTCAGAGATAAATGAAGAGAAGAACAAGCTTTAGAAGGGTTAACTTTCATAGAATATTTTCCTTTTGGTAGATAAGAGTAGGAAAAGATAGTTTAGCCTCTCCATGCAAGTTGAACTATATCATTTCCAGTTTCCATCCTTCATTCTAGATAAAAGCCAATACTGATGTTTATGGACTGAGACGGTTTCACCACTAACCTTTTGAAAAATGTGTTAAGGCGCCAGACTAGAAATCAGGAAAGCAGTGCTAGTCCCACCTTAGACATGAAAGCCACAGAGTGGCCCTGAGTCAGTCATACAGACTTGGCCCAATTCATCTCAGAGGGTTATTGTGGGGAAAATAGGAGGAGGGAGTTTTAGATACGTTTCCTGGCTTGAGTTATTTACAGAAATAATAAAGGTGGGATGAAAAAAAAAGAGAGAGAGAATTGCTTGGAAGAAAACCAAGGACTCCATTATCCATTTCAGCAAGCATTGCCCATTTCTACTACTCATCATGGAAATACCACATTACAATGACTGCTATAGGAATTAGATCACTTTTTCTCATGATTTTATGTCGTGATCTGGCCTTCTGTTTTTAATAATGGTCTGCCAGATGTTTCCCAGCAGCCTATTGACAGAGTATAGAAATCACTTGTCTTTCAAGTTGCACGTGCCCCCATAACAGCAAATCTTGAGTAGGCCTATTCTCTTCCCTGAATTTGTATTATACCTTGAAGAAGGTATCAAAGGCAGTATCACATTTTGTATTGGTCAGTCCTGTAAATTAGCCATTTATTTTTTTTGCATGTTCTACATCTACAGTATTTATACAGCAGTATCAGTGTGTATTGTTCTTTTACACATAGGTAAGAACACATCAGTGTGTCTTGTACTTTACATAGGTAAAAGAGTGGTCAACATACAGGAAACAGAATTTTTAATCAAGTCAATAAGAACCAGAAAGAGAACAAAATTTAGGTAAATTCAATTCCACCAGACACATCTTTATATTAAATATTAAAGTAAATAAGTTAGATTGCATGAATTTCTAGTTCTTATACTTTACCCCTTTTATTCATGCAATTCATAAATGTATAACTGGTATCAGAATCCCCTCATTTTTTAGCTGCTGCTGCTTCTAAGCAAACAATCCATGTTTTTAAGATTTCACTGGCAAGAGGAAAACTGTAGCCTTTTTGGTACTTTGACTGTCATTGGCATCTTTTTCTGGCACCCGAAACATCCAGATGAGGGCACACTAAATTATCATGGACCTACCCTCCATTTCAGATCTTTTCCTAATATTTAATTAGCTTCTCTTCATAATTGATGTATAGTTTTTGCATTTTCGTTAAGCTATCAGGATGACTTAGGATAATATTTTCACTTAGATCTTATTTTATCAGATTCTGTAACTCTGTTACAAAAGGGTATTTTTAATAATTATTTTTGCTTTATGCCCCCTAGCCATTTTTTAGCTCATTACAGCTACATTTTTTTCTCTCCTGAATTTTTGGTATTACCTAAAAACTCAAGCAATTAACTCTTCAGCCAAAACTAATCAGGGAAACAAATGCAGATTATATAAGGACATATTAAAAAGTGCAAACTCTGGGGAATTCCTTTGTTCACATTCCTCAAATTTGTTTATACTTACTGTCTGCTTCCTGTTCTTTTACCGAATATTAATCTACTAACAAGATTTTACTTGTGATTATTGACTTTTTCAGCCCTTCATTTTTATATCAGAAGATCTCTGCTACCCAAATGCTAATGCTTTTCAATACTCCAAATATTAGTAAAATGAACTTTCCACTTCAGAAACCATGCTTATTCTTCCTTAGCAATTTTTTATTAGTGTATGTAGTAGTGCAAGCTTTCATAATTAACTGAAGGAAATGTTAGGCAAACATGTTTATTTTATTTTTCGGTCTTTTTTTTTAATGCAATGATGTTACTTTGGCTACCTTTTCATATTCGAGTAAGGAGACTAAGTTCAATAATTATTCGCTGTGTCACTAAAATTTTATTGTGATGGATCAGCGGAATAATAGCCTCTGCCTTCCAATCCCAATAGCATCCAATCCCTTCTGACTTCAATTTCTGTTGAAGCCTTGACTTCACTGCAACTGAATTATTCATTCCATCTTCATTCTATCTTTCAAGTAATGAATATTCATTTTCTATGATTGTCCTCTTAGCAACATCTCAAATTTACACATTAAAATAACATTAAAGGGGGAATTCTATAACTAATGGATTTACTGGTTCTCATTGAATTTTACAGAACACAAGTGAGGAGTCAAAACATGATTCTTTTCTCATATATTAAAATAATTAATAGCAGATTTGTCCCCTCCCTTTCACAATGGTGCCTCAGAATTATTTCCTCTTTCTCTTAGGGGAATTATGATTATAGTAATATTCATGTGCCTGAATTCTCCAGAATCCTTCAGCAGGGACATTTTACCATAAAACATGCAGAAGCACATTTCATACTTGCAGCCATAGATTCCTGCATCGTAGTTAATTTATTTTTAAATTATTAATAAAATTTATATATCATGCTAAAAACTTTGAAATGTTTTCCAAAAAAATCTGATATAAAAGTTACTTTCTAGAGTACACTGTCATAACAATGATGATCCTTTACTAAGCAGAAAGAACATCAATGGCCCAATTAAAAAGGAAGGTCTTGGGAGATTCCCTAAACACCAAGAATGAGAAAGCCAAGCGTATCTCCAAGGGTAGCTCATTCAACAGGATGGGGCCTGCCTTCTGACCCATACCTATCTGTCTTTATATGGGTTGCAATCTTGAGGAGCTCTTGATCTGGTGAACAAAGAAAAATATTTTGGATAAGGAGATCCCTGAGACAGCCCATTGATCCACTGGATTAAGAGCCTCTTACTAATAACAAATTACAAACATGGGGCTGATTAGAAGATCGGTAGAAAATTTGTAAAAGGTCAGATTAGCAGTTAAGCATAATTGCATATAAGGCTGTATAAAAAGCTAACAACGTTTTTCTAGGCTCCAAAGTTCTGAAGGAGTACTATAATTTTTGTCCAATGGTTTCCCATAGTTAAATCCACATAACTGCAATGTAAAAGGGTTTTAAAGCATATTCCATATGCTTTATCATATGTCTAATGATTGTTTAGCAGAAAGGAGCATGGAAAAGCAGATTGTATAACCACCTTCCCCTTAGTTTAGCAGAGCTTCATCAATAGAATATAGCAATGTTGACAAAAATTTAAACTGATACAGCCACCTCACTCAAGCTAAGCAATATTCATCTGATGGGAGGAGAAAATCTTCCCTTTTGGCTAACATAAGAGTTAAAGTATTGCTGCATCTACTTTTACTTTTCATCCGTGCAGTTGTTAGTGCAAGATGGATCTACCTATCTGATATAAAATAAGCCAGTCTGAGGGGGTTTTTTGGGCTCAACTCATAACATGACATGACATAACATAATTGTTAAATTTCTCTTAGCTGAAACACCATGTATGTTTGGTTGCATCCTTATGAGTGCACCGATGGGGTCTGAGATCCAAAAGCCCCAGGTGTTCAACAATTAAATGGGACGTTTATATCCTTGACCTTGTTGGTAGGGGATAATTGGTCATATTTTTGGAGATGCTAGATTGGGTAAATCTGGAAAGTTCTGCATAATCCTTTCTAAAGTGAACAGCAACGTCAGTGAGTAGAATTTTCTGGGCTATATCTGACATCTATAGCAGCATCTGACATTTTCTTTTTGTGAAAGGCCATTTCCTTCCTTTTCCCTTTCTGATATTTGTGATGATGATTCTGGAATATTGGTAAGTATTTTCTTAAGTAGAACTACAGAAGAATTTATACATGACTACTCATGTGGAAGTTCAAGTAGAAAGCAGTTTGGAGCACTTTCTGTCAACAGAAAGCTCATGCAAAGCAAATTTGCACTGAACTGTGCTTTTTTGAAAGGGTGCTTGGGTGAAGTGCAAGGAATATGTACAACACTTCTAACAGCTGAAAGGATGGAACTCGGCTGTAAACCCTACTAATACACGCAAGGTTAAAATAGAAGGTGGGAACATCCTTGATTTTGAAAGAAGTTGAGGTGCAATTTCTGAGTGGGTGATTATAAGCTTAGCAGGCCATGCTCTTTGGCTGGCCCATTAAATTGCACTACAGGTGGCTGTTGACTATGTTACTGGTTCTTTTATCTCATCCTCAGATTATAAATCCTAGGACACGGAGACATCTTTTTTTTTTATTGAATTAAGATGATTTAATGATGCAACTCATGCTGGAATTGTGGGAGTGAATCAGCTGTCACTCAACATACAGTCACCCCAAATTAATACTCTGGCAAACATTGAGGTGTACAGCTTCATTTCAGAAAGGAAAGCCCATGTGCCTGTGTAACACAACATATATTATTCACCTCTATCTTCTGATGTCAGGTACTGCAGTTTTTTAGAAGCCATTAAAAATGCCCAGGCAGTTTGCATTTTCTGTCAGTTGTATTTTGGGGTACAAACCACAGGACCATTCTTCATAGTCTATTAGTAGGCCATTTTGCTTGCTTGCAGTATTACTTTTAACAGGCCAATGACGTGTGTTTATTTTGAGCCTGGTGAAGCTGAAATCTTTTGTAAGAAAGTAAAGAATGAAATTGAAGCATTTAGTCTGTCTTAACTGTACTGTGGTTTCAGTGCTTTTTCACCAATGTGAAAAATAGAAGGTAGGACAGTATTTTCTGCAGTGAAGGCAAGCTCCATTACTGTGCAAATTTTTGGTACCCAAATTTCATAGCCCATGCTGATCCCACCTTTGAGGCATGGTACCAGGGAAGGGTAAGATTGGCAACAAATGAGTTGCAGGAGACGTGGCCATGAAGTACCTTCATCTCTGTCAAGGTTCATTTTTAGAAACTGGTGTTTAAGCTAAAGTGATGTACGTGTGTTTCTCTGTGTGTATGTGTGAGAGAGACATCAATTGTTTGCCAAGGTAAAAGGCACTATGTCTTTCTGTTAGAATGACTGAAAGACACTTCTCTGACTTCCACGTTGTATCTTGCAGGAATGAAATCACACACAGCCATTTAGGTAAATTAAGAGATTTTGGCAGGGAGAATATTTTTCTTTCCTTCTCCTCCCCCCCCCCCCGCCCCCCACCATGCAATACATTTGATATGATTGAAAAACAATTTTAAGAGCTTATAAGTAATATATTTTAATTAATATATATTTTAATACCTCTATTTCAAGAATGATAAAAGATTTGTGAAATTGGTGTGTGTATGTGTATGTATGCAATTTTGAACGTGTTTTCCCCCCATTAGGGGACCTGGTAAGCACCCCAGGTTGCAATAAAAATTGAAGAACTGTTAAAAAACAAGGTTTCCCAGGAACTGTTTCGTTTTTATAAGCCAAGAAGTGAGTAAAGATACCTTAGAGTGTACTAAACTTTAATTGTTGCCTTTTAAAAAGAAACTTAAATTGGAATTGAGAATATAGTGAGTCAGGTTGAGACCATTTAAAAAGTCATATTTTTTCATAAATGATATAGAAAAATATTTTACTTAAAAATTTTAAGTATTTGAAATAAATATAGGTATGTAAATATACTGTATGTACTTCATATATTCTTTTATTTTACAATTTATTGTAAACAGATGGATATTAAAATTCTTTGAACTGGTTTGGTTGTAGATTCCAACTTTTGCTAAAGTAATGGTGAATTCTGTTGATCATGGCAACATCGCAGATGTTTTCACCCATAAGTTTTTCCAATATGCTCCCTTTTTCCCATTTCTCTTTTGCTCCATGCAGAATAGATGGAAGGAACTCCAAATCTTAAATGACCCTGTGAATATTAACTTTAAGAAATATAATCAAAGATACATCAGAAAGCTTCAAAATTGAGTGAACTTCTCTTGGATTGATGATAGCATCAGTAATGGATAGGTTCGATGCATGCTTAGAGCATGCTAAGTAACTTAATCAATGTTTTTACTGGTTGCAATTTCTGGATAATTATTAAAGGGAGCCACAATTAGTTCATTTTACAATTATGTTATGAATACATGGGGTACTAAGACAAGACTATCTCTATTCAAAACAAATGGTAGCTGCCATGCTAATCCAAAATTTGCCTCAATAGTTTTTCTAACTCTGCACTTTCTTCTCCAGATCAGGTATGACATAGTCCACAAGACTATGATTACACTCAATTTACTGTTTGTTGTATCCATTCAGTACATAATGAGAATGCTTCCTGGGCGTTTCCTGGGAAATAGAGATGAGATGACTAGCTTGCTCCATAACTAAGATCAAACAGCAAATGACTGCAGTCAATAAGAATTCCATTAAATAGGATTCAGGAATTCAGATTTCCTACCGATTGAGGGATCAGAGTAAACACCTTCTATAAAACTTAATCATGTCAACAAAAAAAATAGTATATCATTTACTTATCTATCCTTGCCTAATTTCCCTCATCTTTCTCTGGGTTCAATTTTAAATTATAAGTTTTTGGGGTCAGAATCCTTCCTTCTAAATAATGTAAGACAACTCAAGTGTAGGCAGCAAGTGTCCACTGGCACCATAGCCACTCTGTTGGGCATTTTGCAAAACTCCCCCAAAGCCCCCTCAAATTATTTTCAAATTATTCCAAAAAGAAAAATAGTGAAGTCAGAGAGCTTTTCACAATAGCATAGTACAATGATACTTGACACTTGACTGCTTTGAAACTTGTCAAATTTGGTACTCAATACATTTTGACTAGAAAATTTTGTCTGAATATTCATCGTTTGGTACTTGATGTGCAAGCTAGAACTTGTTGGTGTTGGTTGCCTTGTGACTCACTACCCTTTCCAGCCAAAACAAAGGGTCACCTGTTAATCACATGGTATCTCTTGCCCTGTGTACATCTCCTTGTGGTCTTGTCTTAGCTTCTGTAATCATTTTGTGTATTTTTGCACTTTTTTCCTCATCAATACAGGTAAAGTGAAGTTTTTATTTTATTTCATCTAAATATTAATCTTTATTTCTCATGTAAAGTAATGATATACAACCCTATATTTTTACATATTGCCTTAAAAGGTGCATTGTCTTTGGTTTGGGAATGCATTACGTTTATTTACATTATTCCTTATGGAAAAATTTAGTTTGGTACTTGCTGTTTTTGGTACTTTTCGTGCCTCCTGGAGCCAATTAATGAGTACCGAGGTACCACTGTACTTTGTCTATCACTGTGATAGCAAACCTATGGCACGCGTGCCTGAGGTGACACGCAGAGCCATCTTTCCAGGCATGCGAGCTGTCACTCAACTCAACTGCAGCTGTGCATGCGCATGTGGCAAAGCTGGTGTTCGGGCCTCCGGTACACATGTGTGCAATCCAGGGGACCCAGCTGGTCTTTAGAGCTCTCCTGCGCATATATGTGCATTTGCGCAGGCGCATGAGAGTACTTGCGCGCAGCACATGTATGTGTAGACAGCGTTTGCATCCATGCATTGCATGCATGAAAACCACACACATGTACAGATGGTGCAATTGTATGCACAGCGCGGATAGCACACACACAAAGCTCAAAGCGCGTACCTGTTCGATACTGTGAGTAAAAGATTTGCCACCATCAGAAAAAAATACCAGCATTTCCTAAAACTCTCTGCCGCCATTCTGCTAATCAAAAAGATATTTCAGAAATACTTTTTATTCTTGTTTTGCCAACATTTTTGTTAAGAAAAAAAAAAGAACCATTGATCTGCACTTTTCCCTTGATTTTTATTTTTTCCAACTATGTGGAAGGTTGGAAAGGAATTAGGTAAAGGGGGTCAGGACACATTGTCTGTACGTCAGCAAAATTACTCAAAAACTAAAAGGGACTGAATGAGATGTAGAGGGGAGAAGCTGAGATTGGAAATGTGCTGAGGTTGTGAAAGAAAAAAAAACCCAATTCCCACTGCATATGTCCCTACTCAGTGTTTTCCAGTGCACACATGCGTACAAATATACACAGACGCAACATGAAGAGAGAACAGGCACACCAATACACACTTTACTTTGATGCACAGAAGAAGAAAAGAAAGACTCTCCTGTTGGTAAACATGTCATTGTAGAAAGAACTCCAAAAGCCATGTGTCAAGTCCCATGCAGCTGGGCAAAATCAAAAGCAAGAATTAGGTACATTTCAGTTGAATATATTTAATGGCAGTCTCCAGGTGGAAGTGCAGGCTGCTTAGAAAAATTGCAGGTAACTCTGCTGCCTTCCACCCCTCCCATCTGAACCTTTCCCCCCCAGCAATAGCATGGTAGAATTGACAAAAAAGATGCAGCCTTGAAGCAAGTGTGGGAGAAGATGCACATTTTGGAAGGTCTGCAGATACCAGCAAACAGAAAAACACAGCCAATTAAAAAGAAGGTAGTTTTCCTTCAAAGATAATGGATGATCCAGAGGAAAAAGAAGTATAAAGGCACCATGGAAAAGTCCAAATACTCTATATGCTGACCATTGACAGAGAAAAAAAAAAGCAGAAGAAATCCCAGAGAGAGAATAATTATGGAAAAAGGCAGAATAAGATGTCTAAGAAGAAAATACCGTTAGTAATTCTATGGTGTCCAGTATAATAATAATGATGAGGAAATGTTGCAATTGTAGAATAGTTATACTGCAGAGTATATAGCGCAGAGGAAATATTGTAACAGTAATTGAATAGTATATTAGTATAAGAATTGTTATAGTAATTAGGGTAATACAGAAATAAGAGAATACAATATAGGATAGAAACAATAGAAAGCACTCTGCTATAGATTTGTAAATTTCACATCTTTGTCTGGATATGAATTTCAGTTTGCTGACCTTCCCACTTTACTGACATGCATCTAGTGCTTTTTAGAAATTCAGAGAGGCTCTTCCCACCACTATATACAAAATCCCAGCTGTATGAACCCTAATCCTACTTTTCTCAAATACTGTATTGCCCTTTGTCACCACTCATTCCCTTTTCATCAGTATTCTGGCAGATACCTTCTTAAAAACATTTAACAAACTATTCCCCTTATTATTTTTGCATTCTCTCTTGCTACCTTTCTGTCTGCACAAGAGAAACAGAACAGCATTCTTCAAATAGTCAGGCACAGATACTTTCATACATAAACAAGTGGCACAGCATATCCATAAACAATACTCATGCATCCATATTTTAGCATGTCTTAAGTAATTCTAATTGAATGACAGTTTGTAAACTTAGACAAGGTCATGTTGTTACCAAATAAAGGTTGATTGCTCCTTTGGAATTGATTAGCAAGCTGAAACTTCTGTATTTGGGACATGTTATATGAATGGATAATAGACAATAATTATTTTTCTTGGTAAAAATGAATTAAAGTGTAGAAAAACTATATTGATATGTGGATGGAAGGGATCAAATGAATGCTCAGAATGCCCTTGGAAAAGTGCCGAATTATTACTGGGGGGGGCGGGATGACAACATTTGTTGATACTGTCACTAGAAATAAAAATCCAACTTAATGCACTTAATTCACTCACTATTAATCTGCATAGATCCAGGAGCTATCTAAAGTTTACAGCAAGAGGTTTAGTAATAATTTTGGCAAGGTACCTAGAACTGGTTTATCGTTGACAGCTTTATCTGTTGCTTGGCAAACATTTGGAGATTTTGAGAGGAAATCTACCGTCAATTGCACATTTGATTGTTCAGTTCACTAATTTAAAGGGAAATAATTTCTCTCAATAAAATGATTGCCGGTACGTGTACAAAATAGTCCAAATGTGTTTTTTAAGATGTATATGTAGATTTTAAGTTAAGTTTGTTATTCAGATGCATCTGATTTTGAAATTAAACCAAACCTGAGATTTCACTGTATACACAAAAGTTGGCTGTCCAGTCCAGGTAGATGTAGGCATCTGCTTTTCTTTCCCTCCAACCAAGCCTACAAATCCTGGATTTTCTAGGTGTAGTTGCCTTTATTAACATTCTATTTCCAGCTGCCCCATTAAATTAAGTGCAGCAAAAGAGAAACAAAACAGCTCCTGTGAGACTTTCTGTATTTTTGCTAGCTGTTGCCTGTGCCTCACTGATTGGTCAAATTGTCTGCAGGGGGTTCTATATATTGCTTACTTCCTATGTTGCTTTATCATTTTGCTGCTTGTGATTATAGTTTACAACCATTCCATTGAGACTTTTTTTTTGTGCTCTAAACCATTTATGTTCTTGCAATATATCAACAATCTTATCTTCCTGCCATAGTTAATGGCTCTTTCTTATCCTCTTTATAACTTCGTTTTGATTAGTCTAAATTTTCCTCCCTCTCAAAACTGCTTTTACTGGCTCTTTTTCATTTTTCAGTTTGACAATTGGGATTTCAGTTATAGATTATTAAATGGCCATAATGAATATATATAAGGCCACAGTGATAATCCTCTCTACATTTATCACTTTTCTCTCTCCATAACCCTCTCCTGATATTTATATTTATGATATATGTCTCAACTTTCTACCACAGAATTTTCAATGTAAAATATAAATGGTGCATCTATAAATAGGTATTACAGAATGGATTTTTCAGCCCTGTAATCAAGCACAGTAACATACACTATAATGAAACTAATGCGTAAGCACAAGAAGATGCTTTCAACAATATTTTAAAAGTAAAAGTATAATTATGTTGGATCAAACAATACTTATATCAGTACTTCTATTCTTCTAGGGGCCAAACTGATATTTGTGAATGAAGGCAAATATACATGTCCTATGATAATGTTGCAGGATTCAATATGAGTCAATCACTGGGACCAGAGCTTCCAAGCTTTTGGGCTCATGCTGGAGCCCATCGTCAGGGAACTTCTCTCTCTCTCTTGAATATCTGCACTGGGCTATTCTACACTTTTTCTATATGGTATCTGGTTTATGTGTAGCTTTTAGTTGTTACTGTAATTAGGGTGTTGATGGCTGGCTATGAAGTCATTGATTGTTTCCTTGTGTTGCTGTGTCCTGATGTTCTGTCCCTAACCTGATTCTTCAGATATTCCATTGGCGTACCCACAGCCGCTGCAATTGATCCATCCATCTGACTGCTGGTATTTCTCTTAAACTCTTTCCTTTCATCTTTCTCAGCATCTGAATCTTTTCCAGAAAGCTAGGTCTTCACAAAATGTATCCATTATTTGCTTGGTCATTTGTGCCTTGAATTAGAATTGTGGGTTGATTTGTTCAATGATTCATGCTTCTTTGGCTGCCCCTGATAGTTTTTGGAGTCTTCTCCAACATCAATGTTCAAAAAGATCAGGTTTGCTGTTTTTTATTTATTTATTTATTTTATTTTTAATTTGATTTATATGCCGCCCTTCTCTGGAGACTCAGGGCGGCTTACAATGCGTTAAGCAATAGCCTTCATACTTTTGTATATTTATACAAAGTCAGCTTATTGCCCCCACAAACTGGGTCCTCATTTAACCTACCTTAGAAAGGATGGAAGGCTGAGTCAACCTTGGACCTGGTGAGATTCGAACTTACAGTAATAGCAGACAGCTGATGTTAATCACAATGCTTTTAGTCTGCTGAGCTACCAGGCCTGGTGCTGTTGATACTAAATTGCTCCTGGACAAAAAAAAAGATCTCCAAAGGCATTTACTGTAAAAGAAAAAAGTGGACAGCATGTTAGGACTAATACGAAACAGTATTCAAAGTAGAAAAAGTAGAGATGACAATTTCATGATGTCCTTATAAATATTAAGTGTGCAACTGCATCTGGAATATTGTGTGCAGTTATGGTTACACCACCTCAAAAAGGATATGAATAGTGCTGTATCTTTACCAAGAACAGCACATGGACAGAAACCATGTGGGCTGGCTAGTGTCTTAGGTTTTTGTTGTAAATGCAAAACAGATTCTAACTGAATGCTAGAAAATGGCTACATTAAATCAACAATAGAACCAGGGATGGTAATCTCATCTTCACTCCATGTCTTCAAGTGAAGGTTAGATGATCACTGTCTGCCAGGAATAACTTGGGTTACTGCAAAATAACGAAAACGTCAAAATGGTCTTTCCCAGCTCTATGATTCTATGAATAAGCTTATACATAAACCATTAGACTGTGACTTTCTGATCACAGATTGATTCTGACTTAGAATATTCCCTTAGTTGTTTCATAACCCTTCAACTCTAATGCTTTCTGGGCAAATGGTTTCTTCAATTAAAAAAAGCATAATAATGCAAATGTTATGATACAAATGCAAACTTGCATTTGCTGCATGCAAACAGCTAACCATGTTGAACTCCATTTGTCTAAAATGGCTGGTTCAACTCTATCACCTTAGGGCATGTGCAAAAACACAAGCCCCTCACACCTGTTCTCCAGGATGTCAGCTGGCTTCTTAATCATACCTGGAAATGATAAGATTTCAGTTCAGTAGGGAAACCAAATGCCTCCTGCAACTTCCTAATTATAATGAGAGGGGGGGGCGAGGTAAGATTTCAATCGACATTTGAACGAAAGGATTACTGAAGTTTATTTAAGGACACATTTATTGAGGACACAAAATCAGGATGCAATGACACACATCAAAGGCCCTCCGCTTCTGGACTATATCATCCATCTCTCTCGACTCTGAATAGCTTTGTTAGTTGCAGGGAATTAGTCATATATGGCTACAGAGATAAAGCCGGCTCCATACTACGGCGTTTATTTTGACAGAAAAAAAAATCTATATATCTCCAAACAGGAAAATGAGGACTAGGACTAATAAAACAAGCCGCTCGGACGAGAGATGAAGCTCAGAAGGCCGCAGGCGCAAGCTTCCTCATCACCATAGCAACGCACGGAGCTTGCGTACGCCCGGGCAAAAAAAAAAGAGGACCGCGTAGCGCACGAGCAATTGTTGACGCGCGCGACTGAAAAATCGTGATGCGCGCAAGAATAAACGAGGCTATTGGGTAGATTCACGTACGCATGCGCCAATTCCTGCCCGTGGGACATTGTGCGGCTGAAAGGGGGGGAATCGAACGCGTTTTCCTTCTCTGGCTTCTGATTGGCTTACCTATCATGTGGTCAATGCTGGGAGGGCGGGACTTTTGCGGCTGCTTCTTTTTTTCTTATTGGTGAAACTCTTGGCCAAGTTCCAGGAGATCTGAGCTGTCCCTCGGGTTGGTTGCTCACTTACCCTCCCCTTTATCATTTCCCCTCCCTAATTGCAATCGCTGTCGGGATTGGACAGGTTGAAAAGAGGCAGGTCCTCCGCAACCGAGAGCTGAGCTGGGTTGGTTAGATTGTCGGCGGCTGCGAGCGGAGCGCCTGTGGGAACGGAGAAGAGCAGCGGGGTCTGAGGCGCGCGCGCGGAGGCGGAGGAAGGTAGGCAGGATAGGTTGGTTGGTTGGCTCGGTCAGCCGTTCCCTCCGCCCTCCCGCGGAGAAGAGGGCCCGGTGGAAAAGTAAGTGGCCGGGATCGGCGCGGGAGGGTCCCCGAGAGATCCGGACGGGGAGGGAAGGGCTGGTTTATTCGCCTCTTCGCAGGGAACCCCCTGAAACTCGATCTGCAAGGAGAGGGGGGCTGGATGGGGGTCTTGCGCCCTGGGTTGCTTTTCGCGAATTCCCCGGAGCCGGGTGGTCGCCTGCAGCGTCAACCTCGCGTATGTTTGCGGGGGCCAAGCCATGCTCTATGGGCGCGCATATGCTCAGTTTGGCCACAGTGCAGGTATTCTCGCAGCAGCAGCAGCAGCAGCTCTCCAACCCGGTCTGCAAAAGAAAAGGACAGGGATAATTCCTTGGGCTGGAGAAATTAACTTCTGAAGGCTAGAATATACGTTGATTCCCCCGTATATGTGCTGTATATTTTACGGTGATCTTATTCAAGCTTGCAACAGCCTTTTGAGGTCCATCGTCAAGTGACCATTAGCACTTCTTTAAAAATTCGTGTAGTGGAGCTCAACGTTTTAACAGAAATAAGAGAATAGCAGAGCTGAAAGGGACCTTGTAGGTCATTTAGTCCATTTTAAAATCCTGGCTTCATTTGATAACTTTTTGTGACCGATTTCCATGTCATTTTTAGATCTGCTAGAGACGTATTTATTTATTTTATCGTATTTATATGCCGCCCTTCTCCCGTAGGACTCGGAGCGGCTCACAAGATAAAACAACACGACAATAAAATGATATTAAAATAATCCAATTTGAAATCCCCAAGTAATTAAAACTCCTGGAGGTCAGGAGCCGTCCGGAGCCCAATGGGTAACTCATTCCAGAGGGTCGGTGTGACCACAGAGAATGCCCTCATCCTGGGCACGATCAGCCGACATTGTCTGGCTAATGGCACCCGGAGGAGGGCAATCCTATGTGAGCACACTGGGCGGTGGGAGGCCGGTAGGAGGTGGTCCTGCAAGTACCCCGGGCCCATGCCATGAAGGGCTTTATAGGTATTTGGCCTCTCTTGGCCATAGTATTATGACTCATGGTAGTTGTAATGTGCCAGTGGGAAAGGGAATCTTCTATGGAATTGTAGTGCTGAAGGTATAGGCCTCTATGGGTTAACACATTTTGTTAAATTGTAGTTTCTTTAATAATGGTTTACTGATTAAACCATATTGTGAGGGGCTCATATAACTTGTTAAATGATAAATCATGATTTACAAATCACAGGGATGCCTTTCACAGAACACACAAAATTAGAACAAAAGAAACCGTCCCGTAGTTTAACATCCTGCAATGTGTAGCTTAACCTGGGCATGACAGTTAAAACTTGTCCAACTAAAAATGTCTCTAATGCTGCTTTTTATTATTCCTAAACCCTGAGGGATAATTGCTAGATTGAAACAGAAACAATGTAAACAGTACATCTCTTCTGTTCATTCTCTGGTGTAAACAATCCAAGAAAGGCAAGATGGTTCTTTATTACAAGATAACTAATAAAGCAACTTTTAATTAGGTGGCTATTAGAAAGACAGCGAATCTCAAGAGGTGCAAGGCAAGTGCGTAAGGTATTAAAATGTCTGGGTTTCATTTGGCACAGCCAAAACGACACGGCCTGGTCTGTGAGGAAAAAAGAAGGCTGATCATCACATCTTTGCTTGAGAAGGAATTTATCACATGAAGAATCTCTGCTGGGAATTATATTATCTAAAAAACATCCATCTTGTATGATTATTTTTTGGTTGGTGTTGGCAGGAACTCCAGTTTGAGCTGCAAAATGGAAGTCAACTATAGGGCAAAACTGTGCCTGAGCCATACTCCTTGATTATTATTTGGGTAAATCAGCACCGGTTTCTGATGGACAGCACAATACATGGCTTATTACTTTTGCCTTTAGGAAAAGCTTTCCATTTAGGAATAAAGTGGACAGTACCTGTAAATAAAGGAGTTTTTTATTTTCATCTTTTTGTAATTGCAGCATGGCCTTGAAAGGCATAACTTGAGACACAATTATTTGAAAGACTGCGTATACATATACTAAATGGCCTAGGGCCCTAGGCCTAAGGGCCATAATGAAGTTCTTGCTCATGTATCTGCTAAATAGAGCAATGAAGTTGGTAAGAACAGTTAAGATCACCATTTTGCTAATATAGTAGCTACACAATAGAAATGGCCACATGCAATATTGTATGTGCCCAGTTATCTTATTATTTCTTATTTTAAATAGTTCCTACTACCAACACTTTGTTTTGGGTTAATGAATTTAATTCTTATTTGAGTATATATTTGAATGTGTTGTGCTATTTTCAATTTTTAAATAATTTTTAAAACCAAATTGTAAGATAGCTGTATAATATTTGAATTGCTCTAAAAGCCGAAATATTGATAGAAAAATTAAGACATAGAATCAAAAGGTGAGAACTGATTTTACCAGTTCTTAATTGTGAAAAATAGGATCTAGATTCACTGAACTAAGCAGTTATTAAAGCTATCTGTAGGACTTACAGATTATACAATAGCTATGTGTTGTTGTGTTATGCTATTGAAGCTTTTAATACAGATGCTGCAATTGTCTGGAATATTGAATTGCTCAGGGGGCAGGATAGTTTATAGCCAAGACTTTTTTTTTTAAAGAAAAGACTGATTATCTCTGGACAAGGAAAGACCAGTTGATTGAGGTGAGACTCTGAGACATTAAAACAAGGAAATCTGATAACAAGGAGAATAAAGAAAAGGTGTGAAGTCAGCAGTGGACTGAAAGAGATGAATTGAAGGGGAACTAAGGTGAAGGCCGGAAAAGAGCAAGAGTGGGAGGGCTTTGGGAAACTCCTAAGAAAGAAGGTATGTTAGGAAGGATGGACAAGAAGATGTTTATTCTTTTTAAAAAGGGAATGGAACAAAGAAAGTGATGGCTTAATGATATATAGAGAATCAAAGACTTTTGATCAAAAAACATTTTAATTGCTGCCCTGTATGATAAGCAGGAGTAGAAGGCTGGTAGTGTTGAGTCAAAAACCTAAAATGGCATAAGATTTCTAGAGTTTTACTGGTTAAGGTTCTACTTGTTGGAATTAGTTGTTCAATGCATTTATCTAATACCATGTAGAGGTTATAATTCTGGATAACTACTTACTTGAGGATCATTTTCTTGGCTAAAAAAATGACCTTTGTTTTACCTATATTCAGAGCTGTTTTGGGATATTTTATTGTTATTTTTGTTTGTATTACTATCCCACCTTTTGCATGTTTATTCCACCCTTTTTGTGAAAGCTCAGGGCAGCTTACACAAGGGGATCCTTAAATATCAACATCATAAAAGCCTAAAAGGATAGATTGATCTAAAGAGACTGATTGCCTCAAAGTCAAGCAACAAACTTTGTGAATGAGTGGGAGTTTGAACATGGGTCTTTCCAGCAGAGGCATCCACAGCAAACCACAATTAGATCTGCATAGTAACATCACGATGCAAATCCCACTTTTATGCACTTGTGTCATGACACATCTTCCTTTTACATAAATTGTGTTATTCACTATTTGCTAGAAAGTTTTAAGAAATGTCTGTAACCTATATTTATATACATACACACACACACAAATAACTGTCATTCATGGGGATGTTTGTGTGAGATGTTTTATTTTATATACAAAAGAACAATCTTTAATAGGGATGTGTAATGTTTGAAATAGTCCTTGTTTTGCATTAGTTCTGAATAATCTATATGGTTTTTCTTAAGTGTTCAACTTATTATTTCACAGATATAGCTAATTTTGTAATCTAGAGGAGAAATTGTAGTACAATAGTACAAAAAGGCACGGATAATGTGTTTGTAAATTACATGGTATGAGAATGAGCATGCATCTCCTGTCAGTGATAGGCAAGATTTGCTTTTAAGGTAATATTATCAGACTCATGGAAGTTTGAACTTATTATTGAAACAGAAATCTCTTATATCTTTTCAGTCTTTTTTATTTGACTATTTTTTAAAAATGCGTCCATGTCTATACTATTTATTTATTTATTTATTTATTTATTTATTAAATTTGTATACCGCCCTTCTCCCGAAGGACTCAGGGCGGTGAACAGCCAAGATTAAAATACATACAATATAAAAATTAAAATAAGTTAAAACAGAAATAAATCAGTTTGGCTTCCCCAATTTTAAAACCCTTTACCCATAAAATAACCAATTAAAATTTTAAGCCAGCCCGGCTTGCTGAAATAAGAAAGTCTTCAAAGCTCGGCGGAAAGTACGGAGGTCCGGGATCAGTCGTATTCCTGGGGGTAGCTCGTTCTAGAGGGCGGGTGTCCCCACAGAGAAGGCTCTCCCCCTGGGGGTCGTCAGTCGACATTGCTTGACTGATGGCACCCTGAGGAGACCCTCTCTGTGGGAGCACATTGGCCGGTGGGAGGTTATCAGTGGCAGAAGGTGGTCTCATAAATACCCGGGCCCTAAGCCATGGAGCGCTTTAAAGATGAGAACCAATACCTTGAAGCGCACCTGGAAGACCACTGGGAGCCAGTGCAGCTTGCTCAGGAGAGGTGTTAACATGGGAGTGCCTGTCGCCCCCATAATTACCCGCGCGGCTGCATTCTAGACCAGTTGGAGCCTCCAGGTGCTCCTCAAGGGGAGCCCCATGTAGAGAGCATTGCAGTAGTCCAGGCGAGAAGTGACGAGGGTGTGAGTGACTGTGCATAAGGAGTCCGATCCAGAAAGGGACACAACTGACGTATCAGGCGAACCTGATAAAAAGCCCACCTGGCCACGGCCGTCATATGCTCTTCTAAAGACAGCCGTGCATCCAGGAGGACGCCTAAGTTACGAGCCCTCTCCATGGGGGCCAATGACTCGCCCCCAATAGCCAGTGATGGCACCAGCTGGCTAATATCGGGACACCGGCAGCCACAGCCACTTGGTCTTGGAGGGGTTGAGTCGGAGCCTGTTCCTCCCCATCCAGACCCGCATGGCCTCCAGGCACCGGGACATCACTTCAAGGGCATCATTGGGGTGGTCTGGGGTGGAGATGT